CAGCTCATTATATAGATTACAAGCATACAAAATAATTTTGGTTAAAATTTTCCAGAAAAAAAGTTATTCGTGATGGAATTCAAGCGTGATAGTGTAATTTTTTTATATTTGGCTGGAAAACCACATGTGGCTTTCGTTAAGCCACTCCAACATTTAAATGTGAATAAATCTGTTGTGCCTCGTACCATCGCTCGTTACCGTGATACTGATAGCGTAGCCCGACGTCAAGGAAGTGGACGGAAGAAAACAGCAACATCAGCAGAAATGGCAACAGCAACATCAGTAAAGAAGCGACTTGATCGAAACCCGCATCGCAGTGGCCGAAAAACGGCTCGTGAGCTGAACATATCGCAATGTTCCACTCGGCAAATATTGAAAACTTAGGTCGGGGTAAAACCATTGAAATTCCAAAAAGTGCAAGAACTTACACCGCAACAGAAAGAAAATAGACTCAAAAGAGCTAAAGAGTTTCTTCGCTTGGCCGAAAGTGTTGAACTGCCAATGTGGTTTTCTCGGATGAGAAAACATTCGTTGTCCAGCAGTTTATAAACAAACAAAATGATGGTGTTTACTTGCCAAAGAGATCAGCTGAAAATGTGCACCTTCGGTTGGCCACCAGAACTCAAGCGCCGGCCATGGTGTCGCTCTCCGCTCGTATGACTCGACCGTGGCATCAGAATAAATGCCAAATATTATCGCGAAAATATTCTGGAGGGTGTATTAAAGCCTTGGCCACGCAAACATTTTGGCCGCAGACCTTTGACATTCTAACAGGACTCAGCACGCGCCACCCGAGAATGGTTACAAAATGAGGTTCCCCGCTTCATTTCCAGCGCACAATGGCCACCAAAATTTCCGGATACCAATCCGTTGGACTATTGTGCCTGGAGTACTTCGGAAAGCAAGGTTGACACTAAAAAATACCAAAGTGTCGATCAGCTCAAGCAAGCGCTTCGCCGGAAATGGGCCAAAATAATTCGTGCCAAAAGTGACCAATTCGATCAAATCTAAATTTTGATGCTATTTCCGACATTTTTTGCTTTCATTCAATAAAATTTAAAAAAAATGTAAAAACTATGGCGTTTGACTTTGCTGCATTTTTTTTCATCTCACCCTGTATATTCTCACCTGCTTTATGATTGTTCACTATGCTGTCCCTTAATGGATCCCAACCGACATAAAATTAGATTTTCAAGCAAAATTCTCCAAAAATATTGCCCTCACCTGACTACGTTGGTGTAAGGCGAGGGCACTATTTTTGGAGAATTTTGCTGGAAAATTTAATTTTATGTCGGTTGGGATCCATTAAGGGACAACATAGTGAACTATCCTAAAACCGGTTTCACATTTCACACAATGCACTCACACACACTTTGCTACGAAAAGTGCCTTTTCTAAATATCGTATATGATGTAGGTTATTTCATAGTCGGCTTTACTTATCTCAATTTTCATCAGGTTTTACAATTAGCAAGCTCTGGATCACATTGCGATACTAGAAAAAAAGTTACGAATTTCATTGACATCCCAACATGTTGATAAAACATAATATACCTTCGTGCTAGGCATGTAAAATATCTAAAAATTTGAACAATAATTCACGTCATTATCATATGACAAACGTTTATGTATGAGCGTATGTATATGTACTCTTACATTACGAATACGATCTTAATTCCTTGTAATACTAAAAGAGGCATTTACACACTATTTGAACCCTTTATGGACGAAGCGCGGACAATATTGCCGTCGCATCTTCTATACCGTTGAGGTTTGCAACATTTCTCTATCGCCAACAACAACAACGATGTGACGTCAAGCTGTCGAACGTCGAATGAGGCCTGTATTGAAATGTTTCACTTGAAAAGGATGTGCCTGGGGCCGAAAATGTGTTGACCGCTTATTATCGTTGTTGTTATTGCCTGTTGTAGTTGAGTTGCCGCTCTGGCACAATCTTTGGCATAACATGCAACAATTTTTTGTTTTGTTGTTGTTGGTGTTGTTTTTGTGGCATCCTATAATATTATGTTCAAATGCAACTAATTGCCTTTTTACGATGGGAAAAACATTTTCAATGTTCTGACAAATTCATAGATGCGGGTTTTCTACTCATCCCTCATTTGGGACGTTCAATGGTGTTGGAGGCCATTTGTTCTTGCATACACTGCACGAAAATGTCATATGTAGAAATGCAGTGTTGTAGACGGGCAAAACGACATAAGTCAGCAAATTCCGTCTGCTCGCTACGGCGGGAAGGGTGCGTGGAGATTACTTGTGAATACCTTATTGGTGGGTACAATACAATTCAATAATTTGAATGGTCATTATTACATTGTTACTGGAGCTTTGGGCTCGCAGTTCTCACAGGGGCTTCGGGCTAGCAGTTTCAACCGAAAACTAGCTTAGTAACGTAGAGGTAGTCGTAGCCCGTAGCATAGCCCGACTAACTAACCTCCCAGCGCGATGTCTTTCCGTCCATCTGTTGTAATCAAGCTATCTTTCGAACGAATTGAGATAGAAAGCTAAAATTTTGCACACATGTTTATTTTTCCAGTAGGCAGGTTAAGTTCGTAAATGGGAAATGTAGGTGCACGACTTCATATAGCCCACATATAACGGTACCTCCCGATATTCGGTATGTTGATGATTTTAGCGACATTATTCACCGGAATCGTTTCAAATTTGGTATTTGAAGTTCGAAATGGATACTACAGCCTAAGACAGAAAATTATCTGTGCATATATATAACGGTACCTCCCTATATTCGGTATTTTGATGATTTTAGCGACATTACGCAGCGGAATTTTTTTACATTTGGTATTTGAAGTTCGTAATGGGAACTGCAGTCTGTGACAGAAAATTGTTTATGCAAGTCCAGGTCTTCGTATAGGCCCCATATACCAGTACCTCTCTATATTCGGTATTTTGACGAGTTTAGGTAGAAAACTTACCGAAATTGTTTGAGATGTCGTATTTGAAGTTCGTAATGAATGCTACAGCCTTTGACAGAAAATTGTCTATGCTGGTCCAGGTCTCCGCACAGCTCCGATATAACGGTACCACCCGATATTCGGTATTTTGATGAATTTAGCGACATTGTTCACCGAAATTCTTTCAAATTTGGTATTTGAAGTTCATAATGGACACTACAGCCTATGACAGAAGATTGTCTGCAGAGGTCCACGTCTTTGTATAGCTTTAAATACCGGTACCTCCCAAAATTCGGTACTTTGATGTTTTTAGCGACATTATTCCCTGGAATTGTTTCAAATTTGGTATTTGAAGTTCGTAATGAATACTACAGCCTATGACAGAAAAGTGTCTGTGCAGATTCACATTTCGTATAGCCACATATAATTGTACATCCCTATATTGTTTATTTTAGCTACATTATTCACCTTTTTTTATAGCCTACACCACAAGGTGGTCAGGGTATTATGTCTTTGTGCATTTGTTTGTAACAGGCAAAAGGAAACGAGATAGACCCATAGCTCCTTTTGATGATCTGCATAGAATCACATTCTGAGTCGATTTATGCATGTCCGTCCGTCTGTCTGCCCGTCCGTCCGTCCGTCTGTCCATGTATTTTTGTAAACAAAGTACAGATCGCATTTATTGCCCGATCCAGATGAATTTTTGCACAGATCATTTGTTTGGCCTAAGGACGAACCCTATTGAAATTGGAGCTAATCGGTCAAAATTTAGATATAGCTCCCATATATATCTTCGTCCGATTTGCCTTTTATTGTGCACCAAACGTGTAATATCAGCCCGAATTGTATGGAATTTTGCACATACAACCAAATTAGGCCTGAAAATATGTATGCCAAATTTGATCGAAATCAGTTCAGATATAGCTATAGCTCCCATATATATTGTTCATCCGATTTGTTATTTTTGTCCACCGCTGCCCTAATATGCACTCTGCAACAACAATATTTAGGGAAATATATCAAATACAGCTCAGAAATACATTTGCAAAATTTTATCGAGATCGGTTCAGATTTGGATATAGCTCCCATATATATATTTATCCGATTTCAAATTAATTGTGCACCAAATGGTCAATACAAGTCCGAATTTAAAAGATACAAATGCTTCGGCATGTTTAGTCCTTTGAACTTTAAATTATAATTATAATCATAGCGTGTATGATTGAATTCTCCCATAAAAACTTTTAATTGTTATGTGGAGCTCTACTAAATTAGCAAAGTGGTGTAGGGTATCATAAAGTCGGCCCCGCCCGACTTTAAGACTTTCTTTACTGGTTTTAGTTTGGCATTTAAATATTGTAATGGCTTATGACAAAAGTTGCCTATGCAGGTCCACGTCGTCATTTAGACCCTAATGTGACGGCTACATTTGGTATTTTTAAGATTTTAAAAGAATTGTTAACGGATTTTATTATTTTATTTTTTTGTTTTGAAAATTGCCAAACATTACGGTAAACCTGTTTTGAACTGCGTCCAACTTCACTCGATTGTTGGAAAATGTAATTAAACATTACAAAAACCATAAATCGCTAATTGAGATGTCTGAGGTTGTTAACAGAAGACGATCTACAGTTCAGTACATCATAAAACGTTTCAAAACAGATGGAGTTGTAGAAAATAAGTCAAAAACGACAAATAATAAAATATTTACCTTGAGTGATGAGACGTATATATTACGGCATATAAAAAAGGACCATTTTTGAGTGCACCGAAGCTCGCAAAAATTGCTGAAAAGGATTTGGGAAAAGTATGTTGACCTCAAACAATAAGAAATTTATTGCAAAATGCGAATAAAAATGGAAGAAGAGCTAGACATAAACCTCTAATAAGCAGGCGAAATCAAGAAGTAAGATTGGGATTTGACAAGAAGCATATATTAAAACAGTTTCCATTTGAAAGAATGTGCTGTTCACGGACAAGAGCAAATTCAGCCTTTTTGGTTCAGATGGCAGATCTTATGTATTGGAGTGTTGCGTCGGGTGGGCCATCAGGGGGCGTGTAGGCTACATGGCTTACCTGGAAAATTCAATGTAAATAGTTTTTACATTGTTTTTAAAATATGCCATTTGTTTACTTACCCCAGTAGCTATTTCTTTGAAAAGAGAAATAGCTCAGAGACCCGATTCAGAAAAATAAAATTTTAAAGTTAGATGCTGTTGCGCATCAGGCGAAATGAAAAAGAAAATGACAAGAAGGAAATGGATGGCGTTGCCATTATAAAAGAATAGGGATCGTTCAATCGTTATTTGGCTACGGATTTATACAACCATGGCTGAGTAGCCATTTCGTAGCTACCCTATCGCCATCAATAAGGTCCATAATAAATATTGGAAATTTTAGGAAAAATGGTGGCAAAATGAAGCGACTATAAAAAGGAGGAAAATAGGAAAATTGGCAACATAGTGTTGCAAAAGATCTAAGCAAGAAGACGGTCCAAAGTAGTTTTTAACACTAAAAAAAAGTGAATATTTATATGTGTGTTTACTTGTTAACAAAAAGTGAGAACATCAGACTAGTGACAGTGGGAAAGCAAACAACATTTTTATTTTTGTATTTTTTTTTTATATATAAAGGTTCCCCAAAATCACAATATTTTTTTTGGTCTCCACTGACTGCTGAGTGGGGATCTGGTGTTAAATGCCCGGTCCTTGGGTTTAAATTGGCCGTTGAATTTGAAGGTCTCCCTGTTTGGTGTCATACTTCTGTTTGGTGTCCGTATCTGAGGCAGCGGAATTTGGGTCAAAATTGATCGGATGGCCACAAGTTGGAGATTTTTTGTTGATCGCAAGTTGTCATCTCCTATGGCATAAAAATTAATATTTTGCCACGTAATTAATGACCAGGTAATAGACACCCTTTTTCTTTATCCATGTTTTGGAGCACGGAAGAATATCCAGGGAATTGCAACTAAAAAAGAAAGAGAAATCGACAAATTAAGAAAATTTATTTGAAAAAAAATCATAATAATAAAAAAAAAAAAAAAAAAAACAAAAAAAAATTAATTTAAATAACGATAGGAAAATATTGATAGACATGCAAACTATTTTAATATAAACATATTGCAAATTTAATTGAATAGTATAAGTATGTGTTGTGATGTCCTCTCTTAATGTTTTAATGTAAGGATGTTTAACGCCAGTTTCCTTTAAATTTCACCTAGTACTATATGAGCAATATCCAGGGAAAGCTAGAGGGTGTAGTCGTATGTTTCAATTCGAGCCAATTTTGGCTAGTGAGGCCGTTGTAAGAGAGCTCCTTTACAGTAGGTAATATTTTGTTTAGAATTTGAGGTCTGAAAAGTGCAGACAAAATTCCCTAGGTTTCTCACAAGGAAAATTTGCTATTTTTCATATGTTTACAATTTTTTTTAATCTGGTGTTAGATTGTCCGTTTTAAAGATCGACAAAATTTATCTGTATTTAGCTGTAAGTCCTTTCTGTCAATAAATAATGTTGTGATTAGAATTAAACTAAAAATAAACTATGTGTTGAATTTTTGTTAATAGGGCAATTTTCTAGCTAGGTAAAGAGGTGAGTGTGAGTGGGGTCTTCAAAAAATTACTTTAAAAAGGAACCCTGAAGACCATGGAAGGGTGGGCGAATGCGGGAGTAGAAACATCAACTCTCCCTTGTCTGAGCAGGTGTTGTGTTTGTGTAGTGTATTGTATTTGTGATGTGTAAAGTTCCAATTTCGTGTTCGTCCTGAGGTGTTACAAAGTGACGGTTGAGAACCAGACCCCGAGACCGCTAGCAGCCGGAGGGTCACTTTTAACGCCGCCAATCGGGAATACGTAACAGATGGCGCCCAAGTTTATTAAAAAAATAAGGTTCTGTCGAACCCAAAAACTCAGTAATCGGTGCAATAACATCTAACCACCTTGATATAGACCATAGGAAAAAAATAGACATAAGTTATATCGCAATATTCTTCAGCCTTGCTGATATTGATCCATATTTTCTTTGAAAATATGTAAGTGCAATATTAGTTTTAGGAATTAGAATATTTAGGATATTACTTCCATAACAATAATCGGTCAGTGCAATAGCTTGTTCGTCGTGAGTGTAACAATGTATGTATTGTAAATGACCTGTTTAGTGTTGTTTGTGTAAACTTATTAACGTAGCTGAAATAGGTAGGATTTTTGATTTCTGGGAAATGTGCAATATTCACCGATATATGAATTATCAGGTGACAGTTGCTCTCCTATTTTACGAGATCTTTTTCTTGATGGTTATAACAAGAAAATGCCGTGAAAAAAGGGATCAAAAGTTCTAAATAAAAAAGATAAAGTTAAAAACAAAGAAAAAACATTTTTCGTAATGGTATTTGTTCTGAACCTGCTTGGATAACCGAAAGGGCATTTTTATAAAAGAAATATAAAACACACACCTCTATGAAATAACCTAAAATGAAAATCCCTATATAGTATTTATTGAAATATTAAAAAATTGTGCTGTCTTAATTTTTGTATGCTGTTTGAATTGTGTCGTCATTTTTATATTTATTTTTAAATTTTGTTTTGGTTATTTTTTTATATTGATTTTTATTTTTTTATATAATTATTTTAATTACTTATATTTAATATTTATATTTTTTTATAATTTTTATATTTTTTATTTTTTTTATATATTTTTTTTTAAATATTAGTGTTGTGACGGATTTATATGTATAATCAGTTTTGACAGATCTTATTTATAAATCGGACAAACCTATTTATTTTCATCAAACATTGGTCGAAACACAGGCTTTTTTGCCAATGACTGATGAAATTGACTCTGAAGCTACACGTCGAAGTAAGCGAAATCGTACAGCTTCCTTTGACATTAGCAGAAACTATTTTCTATCTGTTCCAAAACATAGGAAAAAAGCAATAGTGGCAAAATGGTTAATCCACCGTCTACGGGAGATCAGTCGATTATTGACATGTCTCAAAGCATAAATTCCAATCCTCAACCAAATAATGGAGTGTCAAATAGAAACCCAACAGATCCTCAACGGATAAACAATAATGTAAACGGCAACCCTGATGAGAATATGTTAAGGCAAATGGCAAATGAGAATGTTGCAAATGTTCAACTAAATCTAAGGCCTTTAATTCAAGAATGTGTAGGAGGTGAATTAAAAAAGGTTTATGAAGCTATTGGAAAGTTAGGGGATATGGTTAAGAACATAACCGATACTGCTAGTGCAACTAATCAAACCATTTTTCAACCTAGTAACATACATCGCGATTTTACCGCTCCTCCACCACTATTTCTAAATAACAGACCTCCAGAGATACCATCATCTAACATGATGTTATTTCCTCCCGGCCCCAATTTGGAGAGGCCTAGCAAAGTGGAGAAGTTTAAACTGAAGTTTGATGGTAATCCTTCTGGAATTTCTGTAGAAGATTTCGTTTTTAGATTAGAGTATTTGAAGAATCAATACAAAGTATCTTGGGAAGACATTTTTGCTGAATTCCAGAGTTTGTTGTCGGGTGGAGCGTATGAATGGTACTGGCTACAAATTAAAACTGGCGTAGTGCGAGATTGGTCTTCGTTGAAAGACGCCCTGTTCAGGAGATATAGCACCACTAGGTCAAATTTTGATGTCATGAGCGAAATTGTAGAAAGGAAGATAAAGCCAGGGGAAAGCTTAGATAATTTTTTTCAAGTCATAAATACCTTGAGGTCGAAGTTAAGCCAGCCAATATCTGAGAGAGAAATCATCCAGATTGTTAAGAGAAATTTGAAAGGTGAAATATTTAGAATGATTTATCCCATGAGCATACATTCAATGGAAGAACTCAGGATGGAATGCATAAGAGCTGAAAAAACTTGCAATAAGCGAGATGTGAGGTATATGCCTCCACCTCCATACCAAAATGTTAGAGTACACGAGTTGCAAACATGCGAGGATAATTACTATGTAAATGAAACCATGCCAGAAGTGTCTGAGATCCAAGGGGAACAAATTTGTTGGAACTGTCGTAGGCCAGGACATCGGTTTATGGATTGTTTGTCGGCACAAAGATCACTATTCTGCTACAGATGTGGCCAACCGAACACCGTCGCACCAAAGTGTCCGAGGTGCCAATCGGAAAACGGGAAAAGGAACACAGTGTCAGCGGGAACATCGTGTTCGACAGACAGACCCGTAACATCCAAACAACAACAAAATGCTTAGAGCAACTTAATTATCCGTCCATTCGGCATTACCTACCAATAGAAGTTCGAAAAGCGAACTATGAAATTATAAGAAGACACATCTTTGAGGAGGAAAAAAATTGTGAGGGATTGACTGAAACAGAAGTCACCAAAGATGATGAAAAAGTGATAGTAGTTCCTAAGAAAGCCCAAAATCCAAAAAAGTTAGATAGAATTCTGAAGCTCCGACAGAGAAAAAAAGAAAACAAAATGATTAAAAAAATGCTTATTGAATCGGTGAGAAAATACAATGAAACATCTGATCAAAGGCCTTACGCCACCATAACTATTGAAGGTCAAGAACTAAAAGGACTGCTGGACTCTGGAGCCACAGTTTCGGTTCTCGGTAAAGGATGTAGAGAGTTAGTAGACAAGTTAAAAATGGAACCAGATTTTTATTATACCAATGTTAGAACCGCTTCAGGCCAATTACATCGAGTGTTAGGAAAGATAAGAGTAAAAGTCCAATACAAAGATATCGAAAGAGAGATAAGTTTCTACATGTGTCCAGACCTAGAACAGCCTTTATATTTAGGAATTGATTTTTGGAAAGCTTTTAATTTAGCCCCTGATATAGTGTCAGTCAATGTCATAGACATAGAGAAAATCCAAAACAAATTCGTGGAGGAGAACGATTATCCGAGAGAAATGCATAACCTTACAAATGATCAAAAAGAACGGTTGCAAAAGACTGTGGAATCATTCCCTTCTTTTGAGAAAATGGGTCTAGGGCATACAACGCTGGAAAAACATTCAATCAAACTTGTTGAGGGAACAAACCCTATTAAAGATAGACATTACCCCATTTCCCCAGCGGTGCAAGAAATAGTTTACCAAGAAATAGATAAAATGTTGGAACTAAACGTCATTGAAGAGAGCAATAGTGCGTGGAATAACCGAATTACGATAGTGCGGAAACCAGGAAAGAATCGTTTCTGTTTGGACGCGCGGAAATTAAATGCTGTAACGATGAAAGACGCGTATCCGCTTCAAAATATTGATGGAATTTTGAGCCGTATAGATCAAACTGTTTTTATTAGTAGTGTTGATTTAAAACATGCCTTTTGGCAGATAGAGCTGGATAAAGAGTCAAGACCATACACTGCCTTTACTGTCCCAGGACGTCCGCTCTATCAATTTAGAATGATGCCTTTCGGGCTATGTAATGCGGCGCAGCGTCTTTGTCGATTGATGGATAAAGTTATTCCGTCTCGTCTAAAATCCAATGTCTTTATTTATTTAGACGATTTGTTAGTTATTTCAGAGGATTTCGAAACACATTTAAAACTATTAGATCAAGTTGCCGACTGTTTAAGAAAAGCCAACCTCACGATAGGACTTAAAAAGAGCAAATTCTGTTTTAAAGAACTAAAATATCTAGGCTTTGTAATTGGAGGGGGTGTATTAAAAACGGATCCTGAAAAGGTAATGGCCATTAAAAACTTGAAAGTGCCAAAATGTCCACGAGATGTAAGAAGTTTTTTGGGAACAGCGGGGTGGTACCGCAGATTTATTAAAAATTTTGCCAGCATATCTGCGCCTTTAACAGATACACTCAAAAAAGGACCAAAATTCTTGATGACCAAGAACGCCATAGATGCATTTGAGGAGTTGAAGAATGCCTTGACAACGGCCCCGGTGTTAAAACATCCGGATTTCTCCAAACAATTTTATATCCAATGTGATGCATCGGAATACGGAATAGGGGCCGTATTATTCCAGAAGGGAGACCATGATGAGGAATACCCTATAGCCTTCTACTCCCAAAAGTTGAATGGTTGCCAAAAAAACTATAGTGTGACAGAGAAAGAATGCTTGGCGGCCGTTATGGCAGTAAAAAGATTCAGACCCTATGTGGAAATGATGAAATTTACGGTCATAACGGACCATGCCAGCCTGAAATGGCTCATGGGGGTGAAAGACCTTAGTGGTAGATTAGCTCGATGGTCCCTGCAGTTACAGGGATACAACTTCAATATTGAACATCGAAAAGGAAAAGACAACGTAGTGGCAGACATGTTGTCACGCTTGGAAGTTGTAGAAGATGTCGAAATTGTGGACGATCTTTTCGACTTTGAAACAGCCGAGTTCGAAAGTCAGGAATACAAAGACTTGATCGGTGATATCGAAAAAAATACAGCCAAATTACCTGATCTGAAAATTGAGAATGGACTTATTTTCAAGCGTACCAAAACAGAAAATGATTTAGATTTTGAGGAAATGCCGTGGAAATTATGGATTCCCGAATCCCTAACATATCTTTTGATAGAAAAGGCACATAATGAAGTGACCTCTGCTCACGGGGGAATAACAAAAACATTGCATCGTCTACAACGATTTTATTATTGGCCAAAAATGGCATCACAAGTAAGGGCATTTGTTGTGAACTGTAGGACATGTAAGGAGACAAAACCCCTAAATAGAAATATGCAACCTACTATAGGATGTGAGGTCGTTACTGAACGTCCATTCCAAAAATTATATATGGACTTTTTAGGAAAGTATCCTCGTTCGAAAGGTGGTAACAGCTATATTTTTATAGTTGTCGATCATTTTTCCAAATTCGTATTTCTAAAAGCCATGAGAGAAGCAACCACCTCAAATGTAGTCCAATTTCTTGTACAAGAAATCTTCAGAAAGTTTGGAGTTCCAGAAACGATTCACACGGACAATGGAGCGCAGTTTACTGCTAAGGGTTTCAGAGAAATGATCGAAACCTTTAAAATCAACCATATGCAAACGGCACCGTATTCACCACAATCTAACGCCTCAGAGAGGGTAAACCAATCTGTATTGGCTGCAATCCGGGCATATTTGAACGAAGATCATAGGGAATGGGACACATATTTAACAGAAATCGAATGTGCTTTACGATCATCAATCCACTCTTCAACGGGGGTAACTCCGTTCTTTGCATTATTTGGTTACGAGATGTACACGTCCGGCAGTGACTACAAGCTAGCCCGCAAACTACAATCTTTATGCGATCATCAGATAAATGAATTAGGCAGAAAAGAACGGTTGGAAATAATCAGGGACAAAATTGAGAAAAACCTACACGAGGCCTACGAGCGGAGTGCGAAACGCTACAATCAAAGGGCCCGAATAGTTAAATTCATTCCCGGACAGGAGGCCTACAGGAAAAATCATATATTGAGCGATTTTGGGAAAAATATAAACGCCAAATTTTGTCGCAAGTACCTAAAGTGCAGAATAGTCAAACCGATTGGTAGCAATATGTATGAAATAGAAGATATGCAGGGAAAGCCTTTAGGAACCTGCCACGTGAAGGATCTGAAGATGTACAGCTTAATGGCGAAATTGTTTTTTGATTAAGATAAAGTCGAAACAATATAGGTGGTCAAAGTGGCTAACTGAGCTACGGCCAAAAACCATGTAGCTGAAATCTAACCACATAAATGGTTTCCCATCATAGGGGCAGGTCGGAACTATGCCATCGCGAACCTAGGGAATTTAGGCCAAAGTGGTAGATATCCTAGTTAGGTTTTGATCACGTAATAGCTTCGACCACTATCGTTAATAAAAAAACAGAGTATCCATATAAAGGGTGAAGACGAATGTCATGATAAAATGTAACTTAGCCCCATTATTAAAAACGTAAAACTTAATATCCCAAATTTCGTATAAAACTGAAATATTTTCTTGTTGACCCATTTTGAGGAAATGACATTATGTTTCGCCGGTTATTAAAATTTATACTGGTGATTTTCCAGTTTGTAAAACGTGATGTGTTGGTGTCAATATTGTATATATTGTCTTATTGATAAACAAACGTAACAAAAAAAACACATCACCAATAATTTCGTCAGGCAGATAAAGTTAAGTTACCATAAATTAAATTATTGTGGAAGTATCTTAAATAAGAACCTAATAAACTCAGCTAAATTCTATTCACTTTTGTGCCCATTATTTGGACAAGAATTGTGGTAGCATGGTACAAATTTTGCTTTGAAAGACTCAATTTTGAACATTGAACATCTATTCGATCCAAAAGCGAAAATATTAATATAAATCTCAAGAGATTTAAAACACTTTGAACATTATTTTGTATATTTATTAGGCCAATAAAAACATCTCTGCTTTTATATAAAAAGGCTAAAAAAATCACCTCCTAACTCCTAACAAGTTAAACTGCCTAAAAACAATTTCAGAAATGTATCACTCACCTGTACATATCATGGTAAAATAACTCCTTCACATGGATAAAATTTCGATGGGGGAAAAATAAATATAAAATCAACACTTCCACCGCAGATTGATCCCATATTAGCCACCTCATGTTTTGTTCTGGGACGTCTGCAATATGTACACAAAAATTAGACAATGTTTTTTTTTTTTTTTGTAAAGCAAAAAAAAGTAATAAATATACTCACGGTTTTCCACTTACACCAGGGACAGACGCTTTATTGCGCGATAGTTAGTTTTCTATTTTACGAATACCATGCTTTTATCCATATAAACACACAATTCCGAAAGATTTGGAGCAAAACAAGTTCATGTTAGGCAGGAATTTGTTCAAAAATAAGTAAGCGCAGTATAACTAATTTTTAATGACCGGACAATAACAATAATATGACCCCCGACTCAGCAGTATCTGAAAAAAAAAAAATTAAAATTACTACGGCATTTATAAACAGTAAAGGTTTAACTTACAATTTCATAAACCCAAAGGAGTACGTAGTGGTTGGAGGGCTGAATAAAATCATTGAATACACCATACACCATTCAATGATGGTTGGTGTAGCCCAAATGGGGATTTTACCCAAAAATTAAAAAGGAATCACCACAGCTCACTCACGGCCAAACAATAACCACACAAGTTTGGTAGAACGTACGCATTTCACTTTCTGCACACTACAAATTCTGCCAAATGACACTGAAGAAATCCATGTTAAGGAACTTTACTCATATCCCAGTCGAACCGAGTAACCTAAAAAAATATGCATTAATATAGGGGTAGATATAAATAAAAATATATAAATTATACTCACAGTCTCCTTAAATATTGTTCGGGTGCTTCAAATCAAAAAAAATTCTCCAAATAATTCAGGTGTAATCTGGAATTTTTCAATTATGTCGGCAAACACGTCTGTATGAATAAAGAAGAGAAATAAAAACAGTCTTCTTCTTATTTCCATTCATCAACATTTCATTCAGCGTGAATGGATAACTTTGTAGAAACTAAGGTTGCCACCTTGCTATATACGCATAAACGTATGGGGCGACGGGTCGTACCATAACGCATACATGTATATGTGTGCATACATTAAAAAAATGATGCCACACAAAGTACCGTTGAACAAATCTCACGGTTCCAAAAGGGTATGCTTACCATTGAAGTTCCAGAAATGCCCGGCCATGAGACTTCAGGGCTGTGGGAGTTCCCCACGTGGAATAATAAAACCTTCCGCACATCGACCTTTGCAAAATTAACTCAGCAAAGGGTCGAAGTTTTGTTGCGTCGGGTGGGCCATCAGGGGGCGTGTAGGCTACATGGCTTACCTGGAAAATTCAATGTAAATAGTTTTTACATTGTTTTTAAAATATGCCATTTGTTTACTTACCCCAGTAGCTATTTCTTTGAAAAGAGAAATAGCTCAGAGACCCGATTCAGAAAAATAAAATTTTAAAGTTAGATGCTGTTGCGCATCAGGCGAAATGAAAAAGAAAATGACAAGAAGGAAATGGATGGCGTTGCCATTATAAAAGAATAGGGATCGTTCAATCGTTATTTGGCTACGGATTTATACAACCATGGCTGAGTAGCCATTTCGTAGCTACCCTATCGCCATCAATAAGGTCCATAATAAATATTGGAAATTTTAGGAAAAATGGTGGCAAAATGAAGCGACTATAAAAAGGAGGAAAATAGGAAAATTGGCAACATAGTGTTGCAAAAGATCTAAGCAAGAAGACGGTCCAAAGTAGTTTTTAACACTAAAAAAAAGTGAATATTTATATGTGTGTTTACTTGTTAACAAAAAGTGAGAACATCAGACTAGTGACAGTGGGAAAGCAAACAACATTTTTATTTTTGTATTTTTTTTTTATATATAAAGGTTCCCCAAAATCACAATATTTTTTTTGGTCTCCACTGACTGCTGAGTGGGGATCTGGTGTTAAATGCCCGGTCCTTGGGTTTAAATTGGCCGTTGAATTTGAAGGTCTCCCTGTTTGGTGTCATACTTCTGTTTGGTGTCCGTATCTGAGGCAGCGGAATTTGGGTCAAAATTGATCGGATGGCCACAAGTTGGAGATTTTTTGTTGATCGCAAGTTGTCATCTCCTATGGCATAAAAATTAATATTTTGCCACGTAATTAATGACCAGGTAATAGACACCCTTTTTCTTTATCCATGTTTTGGAGCACGGAAGAATATCCAGGGAATTGCAACTAAAAAAGAAAGAGAAATCGACAAATTAAGAAAATTTATTTGAAAAAAAATCATAATAATAAAAAAAAAAAAAAAAAAAACAAAAAAAATTAATTTAAATAACGATAGGAAAATATTGATAGACATGCAAACTATTTTAATATAAACATATTGCAAATTTAATTGAATAGTATAAGTATGTGTTGTGATGTCCTCTCTTAATGTTTTAATGTAAGGATGTTTAACGCCAGTTTCCTTTAAATTTCACCTAGTACTATATGAGCAATATCCAGGGAAAGCTAGAGGGTGTAGTCGTATGTTTCAATTCGAGCCAATTTTGGCTAGTGAGGCCGTTGTAAGAGAGCTCCTTTACAGTAGGTAATATTTTGTTTAGAATTTGAGGTCTGAAAAGTGCAGACAAAATTCCCTAGGTTTCTCACAAGGAAAATTTGCTATTTTTCATATGTTTACAATTTTTTTTAATCTGGTGTTAGATTGTCCGTTTTAAAGATCGACAAAATTTATCTGTATTTAGCTGTAAGTCCTTTCTGTCAATAAATAATGTTGTGATTAGAATTAAACTAAAAATAAACTATGTGTTGAATTTTTGTTAATAGGGCAATTTTCTAGCTAGGTAAAGAGGTGAGTGTGAGTGGGGTCTTCAAAAAATTACTTTAAAAAGGAACCCTGAAGACCATGGAAGGGTGGGCGAATGCGGGAGTAGAAACATCAACTCTCCCTTGTCTGAGCAGGTGTTGTGTTTGTGTAGTGTATTGTATTTGTGATGTGTAAAGTTCCAATTTCGTGTTCGTCCTGAGGTGTTACAAAGTGACGGTTGAGAACCAGACCCCGAGACCGCTAGCAGCCGGAGGGTCACTTTTAACGCCGCCAATCGGGAATACGTAACAGGAGATAGGCAAATAAAGTGCTCCTTGCCTAAAATATGAAGCTTACAGTGAAGCACGATGGTGGGTCAGTAATAGCCTGGTGTATTGCATTTTGTTGAGAGTATTATGGATCAGACTATGTACCTTAACATTTTGAAAGAAAGTTTGCCAATCTGTATTTTTTATCAAGACAGTGAAAAAGTGCGGTCATGGCTGATATACGAGATGAAAAAACTGCAACCAACTTCAGACTGCTGTCATTTCTAAGCCACTCCGACAGCTGTTAAAATTATTCCAGTGACAGCTCATTTTATTGTTTACAAGCGTACAATAGCATTTTGGTGAGAATTTTCCAGAAAGAAAGTCATTCGTGATGGAATTCAAACGTGATAGCGTGATTTCTTTATATTTGGCTGGAAACCCACAAGTGTCTATCGTTAGAGCACTTCAGAATTTTCGCTTGGCCGAAAGTGGTGAACTGCCGAATTTGGTTTTTTCCGATGAAAAAACATTCGTTGTCCAGTAGTTTGTAAACAAACAAAATGATCGTGATTACTTTACTTACCATGGTGATGGTGTGGGCCACCATAACAGCCGATGGTCGCTCTCCGCTCGTATTAATCGACCGTGGCATCAGAATAAATGCCGAATATGATCGCGAAAATATTCTGGAGGGTGCATTAAAGCCTTGGGCACGCAAACATTTTGCAGACCTTGGACATTCTAACAGGGCTCAGCACGCGCCCATAGAATGATTACAAAATAAGGTTCCCCGCTTCATTTCCAGCGCACAATGGCCACCAAAATCTCCGGATACCAATCCGTTGGACTATTGTGTCTGGAGTATTTTGGAAAGCAAGGTTGGCACTAAAAAGTACCAAAGTGTCGATAACCTCAAGCAAGCGCTTCGCCCGGAATGGGCCAAAATACCGCAGAGCAACATTCGGGCAGCGTATGACGGTCTCATTAGCCGTTTAAAGGGCATGATTCGTGCCAATTCGAGCAAATCTAAACGTATTCTAAAATTTGATGCTATTTCCGACATGTTTTGCTTGCATTCCATAAAATTTAAAAAAAAATGTAAAAATTATAGCGTTTGACTTTGTTGCGGTTTTTATACCCTTCATACATTCCGTTTGTAACACCTCGAAATATACATTTTAGACCCCACAAAGTATATATATTATTGATCAGCATAAAATTCTATGTCGGAAATCACTTTAGCTTCCGACAGCCTATGACAGAAAATTGTCTTTGAAGGTCTACGTCTTCGTATAGCTCCCATATAACAGTACCTCCCGATATTCGATATTTTAATGATTTCAACGACATTATTCATGGATATTTTTCCCACTTTCGTTAATATAACAGTTACATTCGGTATTTTTAAGATTTTAACAGAATTTTTAAAGGATTTTATTTTTTTGAAAATTGCAAGATTCGTTTCAGATGGTGGAGGGTATTCAACTTTCGGCCCGGCCGAACTTACAACTTTTTTACTTGTCTCTTCATAAGGTTTAGTGGGTCCTTATGGAGACCCCGGCTTCGATTGAGCTTACCCCAGCCAACGAGAAAACTACATAACAGTACTACCCGAAACGGTTTCACAAGTCTTTAAGGCACAGACTGGTCGTAGACATTTGGCAGTTATACTTCCTCCAATATATGGTCCCAATATAATTTTCATTTTTTCCTTGCTGTTCCCGTTAAAATAATTATATTGCATTTATTAGTTGTAGTAGTTGAAATAATAATTTAGAAAAAAGTCATATCCAGATGACCCCTGACCAAAAAAAAAAAAAAAAAAACAAGTAACCGTTGCAAGAAATATCTTCTATCGCAACTGACTGACGTCCAGCCAATTGAATCTACTTAAGAACAAAACGTAATAACGGTAGTACATGTGAACGCGAATATCAGCGATGAAATCTTTTGAAAATTTTTCAAAATTAGTTCAAAGAAAACAAAGGATTTGCAGCATGTCATTCGCATTCAAATATATCTAGAATCTCAAACGAAACCACAAATTGTTTTGCTGCAACGGTATCGAAGTTTAAGTGTTATACAATTTCCCAAATAAAAATTGAAAAAAGAAAACTATCTGTGAAAATAGCTGGGAATCCAGGCATGAGAAATGTGCAATGCAGTAACCTTCGCATCACAGCCAAAAGCAACAGTCAGTCAGTTAGTTAGGCAGGCAGTTCAACAATCATCCATAGATGATGTCTGTTATGGTAGTCGGTCGAATACAGACAACAAATGACTGACTAACTGTCATTGCAGTGAAACCCAAAAAAATGCCAAAAACAAGAAGTCTCTGACTTTGGACACTGTTTGATGGTCTTCTCTCTACCTTTGAATCTGGAAATCCGGCATATGCGATTAACTACAAACAAGGTACGAGTCAATCGTAAATTCAAATGTTAGACAAACGTCAACCAATTACCGTCAATCCGCTTTTACCTGCCGATGTCGATGCTGCCGTTCTGCTGCGGGAGCAATGTCATCTCCATGCCGAGCAGTATGTAATGTTGTTCTCTTCCGCGGACGTTGTCGTTGTGGGTGCTGCCATAGACCAGCCACTGTACATTTGTCTGCCATCCGTACAACGGCCATCCACTTCATGCCTCTGACCCTTTTGACCATTTTAGAACAATACAACGCATAATATTCACAGAAAACATATGGCGTTATAAATTGCCAAGAAGAGTGCAAAGGCTAATGAAAGAAAACAAATTCAATTCGTTCTAAAGTTTATTGTGTTGCTAAATTTAGGTAGTTGGCAGAGACCGGTGAATGTGCTACAACATTGATGATATTTTTGATGGACTAACAGCCTGACATAATATGGGGGCTCGAAAGTGCCCACCACTTGGTTAACGAAAAGTCCAAAATAATAAAAAAAGGCCGATTCAACGATTTGAGGATTAAACTACTATCGATTTCTTATTACGAAATTTGTGGGAATATGGCAACTATGGCATACTAACCATTAAACCTAGTTTCAAAATATTTCTATCAAGTCTTGTTTTTAGTTTAACCCACGGTCCTTTTATCAATTCAAAGGGGCTTAATTGCCCCTCATATAATCAAATGGTTATATGAATCAGTCGTCCGGCCAATCCTAACCTATGGAGGGCTAGTTTGGTGGCACTCTCTAGGGAAAACTACCTTCAGCAAAAGCATTGAAAAAGTCCAAAGGGTTGCATCGCTACTAATTACAGGAGCGTTAAGGAGCGCACGCTAATCCGCACTAGATACCCTACTCAACTTAAAGCATTTAAGTCTATTTATAGATGAACGCCTAGCAGGTGTGCCCTGCGACTCAATGAACTGTGACAATGGCGGAGTCAGTCCTTTGAACACTCCGTTTAAGTGGTTTGTCAAACTCTGTTGGGTCCCTGGATACTGCAACATATGTGGTACAACATATCCCAAGATCTAGCGTTAAGATAGAATATATATGTCCACTCCTCTGGCACCTCCCCCACAAGAAGTGGAAATTTTGAATATCCATGAAGCTCATAAAACGCAAAATAAACATCCGACTCCATTTAGACTTGGGACATCTGAATATTTCTATCAACACCGGATCTGTTATAAAGGCGGTATATATCGGACCATTCCTTCTTGTACCTCCCCCACAAAGGGTCAAAGTTTTGAATAACCAAAGCGTTTATAAAATCCGAAATGGAATTTCTGCTAACACAAGATCCGTAGTGAAGATGGGATATATCGGTCCTCCCCTTCTAGTACCTCCCCACAAAGGGTCAAAATTTTTAATAACCAAGGATCTAATAAAACACGAAATTAACATCCGATTTTATTCAGATTTGGTACATCTCAATCTTTCCATCAATTGTAAAGATGGTAGAGATCGGACCATTTCTTCCGATGCCTCTCCCCACAGGGTTCAAGATTTTGAGAAACCAAACGCCCAAAGAAAGCCAAATAAGCATTCAACTCTCTTCAAAATTTCACTCATCCAAACATTTTCCCTAACACAAGATCTGTTGTGAAGATATAAATCTGGGAAACCCCTTCATGTACCTCACCCA